AAGAGAGAAGTCTGGGAGATGATCGGAAAGTAGGAATTGGCAGATGGCGTGACAGCTTCAGCTCGGCTCCGTGTTTTGTACTCTGATATAACACATTCTTTTAACCAATGACAGCGCGCGTTCTATTCCAGCTTTATTATAAGATTAATTTACTCTTGCAACCATAATGTCAATTAGTAATTAACTAGTTAATTAATGTATTATAAATTTATTATTATTATCATGAACAATATTTTCGGAGCTCAAATCCCTCGAAAGTGAATTGCAAAGGTTATCATAGTTTGAGCAGCCAATCAGAGCGCTCCTTCAACGTAACTCTAGCAACTGTTTTAGTTTATACTTAAATAAATGTCTGCCAAAACAAAGGTAATTCTAGAACGATTTTTGGGATACTCACTTGGAGTTGATGCTTTCCTTCTCAGATTTTGTCATCTTCGACTTCAGCTTGCTAAAGGAAAGATATCTGTCTCTATCAAGCTCATCGGATTGACACTGAGATTTTTCGGACGGAGATCTAGGTAGCAGTGGAAAAAAATAACTGGCGTATCAAGACAAAACCTAAAGACGAAGTCTCTTCCTGTTCTTTTTCAGAACAGTGAATGAAAGTTATAACCTATCGATAATAAAGTAGACAGGATATTTTAAACTAAAACCCTGTGACGATTCAATTTCAAATTTGAAAATTGAGTAACATTTAGTGTGTACTGAACGTCCAAAATATTTTACCGGCAAAGTCTTTAAATTGTTTTAAAGTCATAATGTTCAAATTTAAGCTTTTAATTTTTTATATATACAACATAGCTAGTATATACGTGTGGACCGCAAGTTCAAGGTTGTACAAAAAGGAAACAATAAAGGCTTTACTGTTTTTATTACAAATATACTAACGAGTGTATGTGTGAAAATGGTGAAAACAGCGCAAGAAATTGTCAGGTAGGTTAAATTGAAACAATTAAGATAGAATTGAGTGAAAAATTAATCAAAAAATAATTGCAACGTTAACTTTACATTTCCAATTTCTTTTTCACGAGCATTCTATTTAACCTATAATGAGGGTACCATCAACGGTACAAATATTTGCTAGTTAATGAACCCACAAACAGTTTTTTCTTTAAGGGAAGCTTGCTGAATACTATGTTTTTATTTGGAAATAACGAAAAATAAAGAAGAATTTATATATGAGAGTGCTTATTTCCTCTTTTTCTGCTACGCTCTCATTCAATTTTAGTTGTCATGTATAATGAATCAATGCTGGATAACCTTTTCAAGATAAATCATTGTTTTGCATTCTATACACTCTGCGTGCTAGTTAAGGATTGAATTTTGGCCTTTTCACTAAGAGAAGCCTGCCCAAAGTGTTCCCACACTCAATGCGCATATTGGGCCGTCTCTAACTTCTTCTGACGTTGAAGCTGCAAGCACTTAATGGACAAATTTATCATTGGTGCTGAATTATGAACATAAAAATTAAAAACAAAATGGAAGACGAAAAAATTAAATGGTGTGCATTAGCGTTGGACCTATATTACATCTCCTTTCCTTGATTAAACAGTGTCTAAATTTGAGAAAATGGAAATGTTTGGAGTAAGGCTAATGGCTCTAAATGGTATGAAAGAATTGCGATTAATATAAGGACGTCAGATTCAAAATACAATTTTCGTTAAAGACAGTTTGCCGTGTACCATTTAATTACAGTTTCATTTAGGAGAAATTGCGTGTGAAAAATATTGACGCCGAGTAAACTGTGACATCTGTGCGGTTTGGATACTGAGGTAAAAATCTATTATAACCATAAAAAGTAAAAAACTAAAAACGCTGTTCAAGTTAATTTGTTTTAGCTTTTTTTGTTTGTTTTTTTTTAAATAAAGCCGCATTAAAATGAAAAGGAAATTTGACTTACTTCACTAAATTAAGTCAATGCATATTTTTCGCCGTCATAAGGAAAATTACCATAGCGTACACACTTGAACCACGTCCGTCTAGAATCAAGCTGTCCAGTTCTGTAAATAGAACGCAGAAAAAAATGACGAAATTAGGTCCTAAATTAGCATTCTGTTTAATTTTTCTTGTGTTTGAAAGTTCCCTTTGTTGTGAGTCGTCTTACGATGCTCTGTACGACCTTCAGAATATATTGAAACATCGTCGGAAGGCTGGACGTATACATCCAAGGAACAGAATAATTGAAACCATCGTGCGAACAAAAATGGAATGCCTTGACATCTGTTTACGGACTTCTCAGTGTGCTTCTTTTACTTTGAAAGCAGTAAGGTATAAGCGTGGCATAAGGACTGCTTGGATCTGTTTGATAAACAAAGAAGCAAATTTTTCACAGAAGATGGCAAAGCATGATTCTAAAGGATTCATTCATTTCAGCATGAGTGCCTCCAAGCTTCAGCAGGTCAGCTATTTTTTCAGTTTTGTGTTTTAATTTCTGTCATTAATATTTGTTTGAGATTTGTCACTCTTTACTACCTTTTGGTTTCAGTAGAAAGACAAGTCTTGGAATCCTTAGTTCATCATTTCAAAATTTGTATTTTATCATTTATGTCATCATCTTCGGATCGTGGCTAACATATCTACTTGCTATAGCACGTTTTCTTGCTTGGTTCTTCCGATATTGTTATAATTTCTGTTACTGCCTTAGTTTTATTCGAGTGACTATGGAGGCAGTCTGTTGTTTCACACAGCAATGGCACCAACCCTGTCCATACCTGCCTCAACAACGTAAACGTGTATTAAAATTTCTGACCCCTGACGCAGTATGCAGCCTGTAGCCTCTTTAACTCTTTTACTTTCAGCTAGAGCACCCACCAAATTCGATTTTAAAATTAGGACGCATATAAATTGCAGTATTGTATAACTCAAAAAGCTATTAACCAGGAAATGAATTAGAAATCCTTATTTACCGAAGTCTTTCAAAACTTAGTTGTTGAAAAACCGACAATGATGTCCTTGTCACTATTGCTGAATTAATTCCATAAGTGGAACCCTTACCGAGTCCAGTTATGATTGTAGCTTTGAGAGTTCGCCAAGAAATCGCCAGTTTGGGTTATGAACTCGGCTTTGCTTATTTGATTATTTTTACCATACGCTCGGAAGGATCGCACCTTACATAATTTGCGAACTTTTTTTTTTATTTGCATGAAATATATGCGAGGATAATTGCTATGTTAAATATTTCTTTCATTTCGTGATTCTATTTGACAGATTCTTTTGAAAGCTCCTGAGGGAAGTTGTTGAAGGAAGAGACCACCATTGCCGTCATTTTGTCACTTGGCTTCGTTCACTCCACAAGAAAGAAATCATCACACATTTAAGTCAGATTGTTCCACAATTTTAGTCATGTCAGGTAATAAGTCAGATAGGTGTTAAACAATGCGTAGTGCTTACCGCATCTCAATTAAGTTGGTGTTTCGCTCGAACTAAAGGCGCTATTTCACTTTCGCGGAGCCGGAGTCATGTAAAATTCGAGTCTTAAGCTTGTCGCAGTCGGATTCGGGTGAAACAGAACATTTTCATTTCCTTTCGGTTCCACTTTAGACTTCGACACTTATGATACAGTGAAAAGAAATTCGTCGGGATCGCACACAAAAGCGGAAGGACGAAAGAATCACAATGTTAGATCTTAGGCCATTCGATGGTTTGCGACTACGACAGTCCAGTTTCCTTTGGATCCTGGGCGACTGACTTGTAAGCATCATCGATACTATTTTTCAGATTCCACTGATTTGATTTTCACTGGTTTGTATCACTCTTCAGCTCTGGTTACAAACTCGACTCCGAATCTGCCGGAAGTAAAAAACAGCCTTAAGAGGAGTGTTTGCCTAGCATCGCTTAACATTTGTCTGGCATTGCTATGAATATGAGCATTTTTGCAGGAAAAATCATAACTTACGCGAGTATGTTTCAGGATACAAGAGAAGAAATATAAGAACAGATTGAATGTAATAAAAGGCAGGACCAGAGTAACTGTTACTGGTTGAATTAACAAACTGATTGCAAGTTTCCGTGGTCTGTTAAGTAATTGATCTCACATAACGTCATAATAAGATAAGAACAAAAAAGTGGCACATGTAGTTCACCAGGCGCGGCCGAGTGAGTCACTGATGCTCTTACCACATTTTGAAATCTCGTTTGATCTGCTACTGCACAGACCATATAGAGTCTATTTTCAACATAGAGTCTATTTGTTTTTTTATTTATTAAAAAAGCAAATGGTCTCGATGGTGTCGTAATTTAAGTGTCTTTCCTCCAATAGCCATAAGCAAGAACCAGTCAAAATCGGTGTATGATCCTGCTTATCATTTAAAAAATATTGGCCCACGCTGTGCAGTCCAGGATGTCACTTTGTGGCACATGTAAATACAAAATGATTTTCCTACGGAAGCACTAGAACCATGGCGTGCAGTGTAGCGTTGAATAACCCCGTGATCAGCCACGTGATTGAAGAGCAAGGAACAAGCAAGGGAATTCATCGAAGATGGCGGTAAATTATGAATTTGTTCATGCTTAGCGTGCGTATATGGATGCACGCGGGAAGTTTGGAGAGCAAGAAAAATGCGTAAGAGTAGCTCGAGGCGCAGCCGAGGGCAACTCTAGTTTTTTGAGTGTCACAGAGCGACAACAAGGATCTGCGCGAAGAAGCCTTTGATTCTTTTTGTTTTGGTAAATTCCCAATTAACAACTGTGCACTTTATTCCCCAGGTTGAAAACATTTTACCATCAAGTGTTGTTAATGACCAATTGATGACTCTTTTTGTTCCCAGTGAATGTCTTTTTGGCCAAAATTTGTTGCAGCTGGTCTGCCGACAAATTTGCGAAACGTGCAACTTGCGAGTTTTTTTCGGCTTTATTTTTGTTGCTTGGTGGATCAGGACCTAAAAGGTCAATGCCGACAGAAAAATTGGGCAGTTCTTCGCTGGTTTCTTCCATATTTGAAAGAGAGGGAAAAATGCACTGCAGCTTAACAGGACGGAAACTCTGAAGCCAGGTAAAAAAAAATGCTCACGTATTTACGCACGCCCGTGCGTAAATAAAGATTTTGTTCATAGCGGTTCAATAGGACTTATATAGGGCAAGCACACGCGCTATGTTATAGGATGGCATTTCGTTATAACAGCAATCTATTATCACCATTCATTTCTAGGATGTAAATGAACAGCTACGCTCAAAAGTGAATGAAATATTGGGATAAAAGTAAAGCCATGACGACAAACTAGGTCAATAAACCTACAATCTTTCCCGAAAAGCTGCGAATTCATTTGACCTTTCTGTTGAAATACAGTCCATATTCTCGCCACGGAAATTTTCCTTCTTCACCATTTCCCACACTCTTTTGGTAGAGTAGGTTTATAATGATATATGTGGAAATTTGCATTGACGTGTTTATAAAACTCGAAATGCAGTATCGACGAGCACCAATTTTTCACCTGGCTGGTATAAATGTAGCGAATCATAAATTAACTAAGGAACAAACAGAAAAATTTTAATAAGACAAGTTGCTTGATGAAATCAATTGCATTTTGGTTGTGTCAAGATCAATCTAGAGACCTCACAATTCCTTGAGAAAACAGACTGTAAACTAAGTACGTATATCACTAGAATGACGAGGCTGAATTTGCGCACAATCTTTCCCTCGTGTGTTCTTGTTCTGGTTGCAATCACAAGTAACGAATCGTGTCCAGGCTCTGCAGAAAATTTTGAACACATTTTACAGACTCGTCAGCTTCCCGGAAAATTTCAGTCTAATGATGAGGGATTCATCCTATCTAGACAGCCTGTTCATTCAATGATGGAATGCCTAGATACATGCTTGCGAACAGTTATGTGTGGTTCTTTTGGCGTGGTTAAAAGGCCAGAGAGGTGGGGTTGCCGAATTTACAAACATATCCCACACCACCAGCTTCTAAAGCTGATCCATCCAAAAGCCGGATGGATGCATTTTAACGCAAGCTCATACGAACTTCAAAAGGTTAGTTTCATGTATTTGACATGCTAGAATTACCACAGATTTTATAATTCCAAAATAGGTTAGCCTCTTGGTACAATGATAGCTTATCATTTAAACCGGATTTTAGGGCTTATAGGCATAAATATAAATGAGTCTTGACCGAGCGGAAATTTTAATTTTTCGTGATAAGTTCTCCCTTCACAATTTCTTCCGGCAGTGTAAACAAACAAAAAAAAAGAACAGAAAACAAATGTGTAAATTTGGCCTTTGACAAATCCCCTTGTTCAAAAGCTCGGCAATGAAGAACGTGTCATGCAATAAATTTGCTTCCAAGGGTCACCTGTCAAGATAAAATGTAATAAAAAGTAAAAAAAAATTACAAAGGATTTGAAGAGAAAATTTGAAGATGTTTGCCTGACAATTTATCAGATGCTCTTTCGAATGCATTCATCGAACATTTTTTTTCTCGTCAAAGGGACCCTGCCTGTATAAATGTGAATTTTATGCATGAAAAGAGATCAAGCTGGGCCCATCAACTTCTTTACGAAAGTGATATGCTTTATTCGGAAAGAGGTTAACACTAGAATTTATGTATTTGGTATTAAAATGACAACACAGATGAAACTTTTAGCCTTTTCCTGATTGACATTTGACCAAGAGAGATATCAATAAGGCCAATTCGATAACGGAACTGACTCTGTGTAGTTTGGTAGGCACATCTTAACGATCGAAACTAATAATTGTGGAAAATATCAAATAATGAATATTCATGATTGTGCAAGGAGTGACTCAAATTTCAAACCTTTTTTTTATGGATTTTATTTCTTCTCGTATTGATCTAGTTTTTTGGTGGATTTCTAGAAAAGACAAAAGTTGATATGAGTGATTAATTAAGGATTCTATTTTTGTTTTTTTCTTTTTTGATGGTATGGTTCCTTTTTTAATTCCCTCTTTTTCTCCTCATTTCTTACCTTTCTTGGTCTTTCTCTCTCATCTTATTTTCCTTGTTTTTATTCCTCTTCCTCTTCGTTTTCGTTTCCCTTTTTTTTCTTGGGTCTTTTCTTATTAAAATCTTAATTATTTTATTTCCATTCATTTTGTCAGATTCTATGGCAAGCAAACGTGGCCTGCAGATAAAGGAAAAGAGCTCTGTTTACATTAACAATAATTATATTAAAAAAGTGGCGCTGAGAAAAACATGGACAAAGACATATGCCTCCCGAAGAAAAATCGTTGAGTGTGATTTATAGCATGTAGTGCCACTCCAACAGAAGAAAATTATACATGTGAGGTTTTTTTCGTTTTCAATTTTTTTGTAAAACAAGGACTCGGGTGGCCTTGATTTTGGTATCTTCTCTTAGCTGTACCATCCGTATATTTTGGATTATTTGTTCTCAAAGCAACAACAAGAGCAGCAGCAGCTTCAACAACAACAACAGCGTCAACAACAATAGAAAACAAGACTAGCAGTTTATTTGGCAAGCCAGTAATTTGCAACGTAAAAAAATATAGATTAGAAGATGAAGATCAAAATAAAAAAGGTACTCGAAGCTTAAAAATGCCGTTGCCTATCTATCAGCATTAGGTCTAAATATTCGATCAACCTAACCGGTACCAGACGCCCGAGGATCTTTTTCTTGAGGAAAGCACGGTAGTTTAGAGTGCGTTGCATCGGCAGAGCAGCAGGCTGTTGCCACAAAATTTAACAAAATATTGAACGATTTAAGACAAACAAAACGACAAAGGTGAAGTTTCCCTGTTATGGTTGTTGTGGTTGTTGCTGTTGTAGTTGTTTTCATTATTCTTCCGAGTAGGAATGATTTCAGTCGCTTAATGCTTCGGCTTATTAATGGCCCCATGGTTCAGATCCTGTCTTTGTAACGTTGCGATATGTACATCTTGCGTTACTTGCACTCACCAGCGAGGATCATCTGTTCACTTGCACAAAACCCGCAGGTTGAAATATGATTTACTTGAATTGATTATAATTTTATCTGGAAAATTTGATAATTAAATAGCACATTTTTATCAGCAAACATGATTAGTATCAACTACGTCTGGGTTAACCTGTATCATTAATTATATTTAATGCGCCTATCAATTCTAATCTTCGTCTTCCCTTCCCCCCCTCCCCTCCCCTTTGCAGGGAAACCCACGGGAAATTGGCTGTTCTCCGAGCCCGAGCGGGGGAATAATTTAAACCTTACCTGTGCTTCTTTCAACGTGCTCACGAAGACCAGTCACATAAATTGCATTGCTTACAATGACATCCCGAATTCTTTGCATCTAAAACCAACATATCAAAACAGCGGATGGCTCTTTTTCAACGTCAGCTCACTTGAACTGCAACAGGTTAGTTATCACAAATCAACCGCTGATTATGTCGATGGAAGTGAAACAAAGTTGATGCATCCTTGGGTAGTTAAGACTTGTCAGTTGATTCTGTTTTTGATGTCAATTGTATGGCAATGGTACCGGATTTTCAAAGGTTTTAATTAGCTAAGAGAAAATCGAACTAAAACTGAGCTGTGCTAGTGAGCATTTCCTAATTACAATGACAGAAATAGCAGGGAAAGATGTTACTTGTTTGGGATAGAGATGGATATTGAAGTCAACCATCGAATCAAACACAACCTATGAACTTTGCAGGTGACTGGTAAAGCATCGGAGCGGAAACCCTGTCTGGATTTTGTCTTCTCGTGGGAGACCCCAATTTTTTTTTCTCTCACGCTTGTCACAAAATGAAAAAAATATTCCCTTATACCAGAAAGTCTAAGAGCCAAAATAAATTAGCACTTTCTACCGCTACAAACATTCTGATCTAAAACGAAATAGAAGTGAAAACAAACATAAAAACACTACGAAGACCACATGTACCTACACAAGAGAACAACAAACAAAACACATACAAAACAAAAACAAAAGAAAAAATGTAACGGATACAATAAACCTACCATTTTTTAAATTTTCTATCGAAAAAAAGATGTTACAAGAGCCATGCAAGTAAAAGGGAAACTCCCAAATCTAAAGTCGATTTTACAAACTGAATTGGAAAATAATTCCTCTTTCCTTGTTATTCTGGTCAGATTTTGCCGATCTGATCGAAAATGCGCAGAAAAACTTTTATCTGAATGCTCAGGTTATCATGAAGGTATTATTCGCTCTTCTTTAATTTTTTCTTTTTGGCAATCGCTTCGGTTTTTAAACGAGTTAAGGAAATTAATCTATATGTTAGCGCTGTAAAAAAAAAACAGCTTTATGTTTTTAAATTCATAGTACTACCTTAGTTCATTTCATTTACATGTGAGGTCTAATTAATGGCTTTAAGTAAAATAGGAAAAAGCTAATTAGAGTAGTTTTGGTGATAAATTTTTATCAAAAATTCATTGGATTACGGCAAAACTGTTATTGGCAGCTGCAAACTACTTATTTGTCCTAAAAAAAGCAATAAAGATAATTCGAAACCACCAGCCATTTGAGTTCATATTTATTCCACTTTACACATCAAAAAGTGAAGGAATAATGACCAGTAACGTTATTATAGAAATACTTTTTATGCATAAAGGCACAATCGACCGGAAAAGAACAGAATCGGTTTTTTATGAGATTCTAATCGGTATCACATAACAAAAACTAAAGCTAAAAGGTTCTACACGTTTTTTACATTTGGGTTAGTTAAGATATGTTGCTCATGCTCACGGTTGGCTGCTGACATTAGCCATGTACCAAATGGAAAAGCACTGAGGACTAGATTTCTTTAAAAGAGGTGATGGATATCTGCGCATGTCACGAATTTTCATTGGAATTCATATCAACAGTATAAACCAATTAAAAGGACAGGAATTGAAAATAAGAAATAAAAAAGGAAGGATTTTTAAAGATTTCATATCCTTTGTATTCGCGAAAATAATATAACCGCTCACTTGTCGCTGAGGCCCACTTAGCACACAATTAACGCTTTAACTGAAGCACAACTTACACAAAATGCATCCTCGCGATCGACATACAACAGTTTACGGGAAAATGAGTCAAGTATTCAAAGGATATTAATGCCTACGTCTTACCCTTAAAAAAAAAAACAAACTACACCACTTTTTGGATTTTCAAAAATTTTGAAAATTTACTATGCCGGTATTGCTATGGTTTTCACACGTGAGCCCGCAAACGTTTGTGACAATCCAAACGTTTCTCAGCGCTACGGATTGCTTCACATCCTCAGTTGTTGTATCCCCATAGGCTTAAAGGAAATCTCTGCTTCGTTTTCCTCCTTCTCATAAAAAGCTAATATGCACATACCTTTTTTTAAACAGATTTTGTCTTCAAATACTCATTCCTGCTTCGCAACTAAGATCCGTAAGTTTGTACGATTTTTTGGCTAGATCATTATTTGAATGCATGGACAAAGACACTGAATGTAAGAGCAGTGAAATCACCCTCACTCTACGTTCTAGTAGCCTCATTCAGTATAGCCTGGTTTAAGATGCACCCCATAAATTATAAACATTCCATCGTTTTTTAGAGAAGAGAGGATTCTTAAAATGAGCACCGTCTTAATTAAGTTAAGCCCGAATGAATGTTGCATCTTTGTCACAAAAGGAAATAATAAAAGCGGAGGCACTTAATTGTCGAGTGAATGCGGTAATTATCAACTTCTGCTGCAGTTAATATTTAGATATTTAACTGAGCGCCGACGGGTAATTTCTTTTCTTGATTCATTTATCTCCAACAGCTGACGCCCTCACCGACGAAGATGACTTCTTACTGACTGATGTTGAGTCTTGGTTGAGCAAGCCATAATGATACAGCTGGCTGTGGAAAGAAAATTCTCTCTCCAACATTATCAAAATACGCTGAAGCAGTTGCAACCATTTCTAAAAGCATTTATTCAGGAGTTTTAATAATTTTCTCCATTAGCGGCTGCTTATACATACATATATACATAAATTTAATTGGGTCTCCCTTAACAGGGCTTTTCAGACACAATTAACTATCATAATTCATAATTGCAACCATTTCTAAAAGCCTTTATTCAGGGGTTTTAGCCGCTGTTTATTCATACATATATACATAAACTTAATTGGGTCTCCCTTGACAGGGCCTTTCAGACACAACTAACTATCTCTATCATAATTTAACAATCATAATTTATAATAATAATAAAAAGCAAAAAGTTAAATGGTATTTTCTTGAAGTTTTTTATGTTCCTAATACCCTGAAGATCCTTTAAAAGGCTATTCCATTGCTTAGCAGCCCAGAAATAGAATCTCCGTTGTCCTGTCACGTGACAAGCGGCAGCGTGGAGAGCTCAAGTCTTTGGATCTTCTCCTGTTTCTGCTATGAATCGCCGACCGTTTTGTGAAGTAATTCGAAAGATAACCTGATATGTACTAAGCCATTCAAACATTTAAAAACTAAGACTAAGTCATTAAATAAAAAGACCCCCATGTCTATTAGCTATAGCACTTTAAAAACAAAGAAAAGAAACGGAGAGTTTAGATCATTAAACACTTTACCATTAGCCACTTACTTAATAAATTAACAAATGGTTACTGCTAACACAAAATTCAGCAACAAAGTTATAAATTTTAGCCAGACAATAATACCGCCATAACACGAAAACCAATCGCAATTGTTTGATCGCAAGTGATCAAAACGAGATCCAGCCTAAAAACACTTCACGCACACCGCACAGGTGAATACTGTGCTTTTAGTGCGCGCCGATGGGCTGGTTCTATAACTCACCTATTCACCTCGCTCCAAGTGGCCAGAGACAAACTCACCCGTCAAGAGCTTATTTTCCGAATATTTTTAGGTAAATCGACAAAAATTAACTTTTTGTGTGTGTGTGTGTGTGTGGAATATACTAAAGCATTTATCTACCTCAGTGTCAAGGATAATGGTGGATATTTTCCTTCACTTTGTTAAATTATTTACAGTAAAATTACGTCCCTTAATAATTTCTTTTAATTTTTCTGTCAAAAGAAATGACCAATTGTCTAAAAAGTATAAAACAAAATTAAAGCGAGACACCCAGGCTGATAAAACTGTTTTCACTTTAGCACAGTCTTTGACAGGGTGTCAAAACCACTTCCACGACTTCAACATTTGAACAGATCCTTGATGGACACAGAGTTGATAATGATTAGAGAAAGTTTGCTAAGAATTTTTTTCTGTTTTCTTATTTTTTTTGTAACCGGAGGATCATGCTGGAATTTTTACGATAACTTTGAGGATATCTTGCGGACTCGTCAAATTCCCGGAAGGTCAGACATTGGTCAGCACCGGCTCTCAAAACAGTTTGTAGTTTCAAAAATGGCATGCCTTGATATCTGCTTGCGAACAACAAGATGTGCTTCTTTTAATCTGCTAGAGAGGACTGATAAGAAATGGAACTGCATCATACTTGACAAAACTCCTCGGGAATCAGATAAACTGAAACGTACAGATACAGGTTGGATGAATTTCAACGTTAGCTCGCAAGAACTTCAGAAGGTAGGTGGCGATAACATAAGACACTGCATTACCTAACTGCTTGCATCTTTCATTTCTTGGTGGGTCATTAGAGCTTGTTATTTTATTGGGAGCTTTTTCGATAGGAATTTTTCTTCAAATAGACGGCATAGAGACGGGTCTTAAGTTTTAAAGGTGCATTGTAATTAGCTTGTTGGTGTGTTCAGATCATGTGAATGAACGGCACGGAAAATGTGGATAAGTATTCCCATTTGCAAATATAGCAATAACTTAATAAATAAGAAAAATCTCGATGAAATCACGGAGACGTTTAGCGTGAAAATTTTTTATGTCTAGCGTACATTGAGCTGCAGGACATCTTAAGCCAATTTTCAAAATCGAAAATTTAATTTCCTCTATCTTGATTAATATTAGCGAGATTTGACCAAACTGTTAAAAATAGAAGTGATTTTTTTCTTGATAGAAGCTAAAATTATAAATGAATTGGACCGTAAATTACAATTTAGTTACAAATGTTTTCGAGTTGCTGGAAATAAAATTCTGACCATTCTTTAAGAGTTGGTATTTCTCTTCTACGTTTTAGGCTATTCTAATTTTTGAACGATCCTGCCAAGAAATTTTTGTTCGGGTGTCAGTAGTTAAACAATGCTTCGTCTTGAAAATGAAAATGACAACATATGTCATCATTTGCATGCGAAACCTGATAGGTGAATCAAAGAAAAATGAGTAAATTAATTGAAACCAATTTTGGCGACTAATTTCCACCTAAAAAAGATACTTGTATAAACCTTAAGAAAAATATGGGCTTTAACTTGGTGCATTACATAATTCTCAATCTGAAAAAAATTGAATTAGGAAACTTGCTTTTTTGCAGATTTTGTCCTTTGACACCCAACTTTGCCTTCTGGAAAGATCTGTAAGTTCTTTTTTTTTTTTTAAATAATACATGCCGAGTGAAAAGCAAACCCCTCCGAACACAGAGAGGAAGTCGAGCATTTTTAAAAGCAGAAATATTTCGTAATCAATTCCATCTGCTCTCTGCATAACTATTTACATGTGCACAAAAACCTAGTATTTACTAAGACTAATAAATAAGTAAATTATTAGTTGATGAATAAAACTGGAAGCCGCCAGTAATGTATTCTTTTCATCTGATTCTTTCAGCCTCGCTGACACTGATGAAGAAAACGTTTCCTGACCCAAGCATGAGTTTGATGATAAGAAAGCGAAGGCAATGATTTGTATATTTTGCGGAAATAAAATTAATCAGTTGGCGAAAAGAAGAGAAAAAAAAAGAGACAAAAACAATATGTAACACAGCACTAGAGTGAAGTTGATAAGCACACAGTGACGGATTAAATAGCCTACCTGTTGCCGTACCCTCCCCCCCAAGGTGAAACTTAGGCGTGGGGGGGGTACGGCTACACGTAGGCTACGGATTAAAATGAATCTTGATCATTCATCCTTAAGCTCTAACAACAGTAGGCATTTTCGCCACAGCGTTCCCTTTATATCTTCTAAGGTGCTGACAAGTACAATGTAATAGTCAAAAGCTTTTTCAGTTGGAGATCTTATCCTTTATTCTCGTGACCTTCATGTATGATTCACGGGAGATGACCTAAGTAGAAGTAGATGCTAATCACTGTTAGGGGTTGAGGGTCAAGGCTAGCAGATATAAACGAGCGAATCTTTTGGTAATCCTCATAGTAAGCTTCCCTCCTTGTTAAGTTTATGGCTGAAGATATGCCCATTGAAGAATGTTCGGACTCTAGGATGCAGCTCCTAAAAGGCTTTCACTGAAGCAAGACTACAGTGAATACGCAGTGCCCAAGACAAACGTTACTCATCTGTGGGAACTTGGCTCTCCTGAATCGCTCTGGCGAAGGGCTAACGCTCCAAACGTTTTTTTTTTACTCTTTACGGTAGCCAATTTACGTTTTCAACTCAGTTGTTAGTATTAAATTATCTCCTGAAATAGTGCGTATCCAGCAGTGCCGGCGTCTTATAAGAGCGTGTTGACTCTATTGTAACCTTGCGATCGTTTGTTCAACCGGCCATATTTGATCTATAATTTGAGTAGACGGTGGGGGTAAGTGGGGTAGGGGGCAGCGGGCAGGAACAGACGAAGGGAGAGGCCCCATTCCCCGTACCTCTCCTTCCTTTTAACCACCCCCCTTAGTATATATTTCTTTCTCTCCCTAGCCTCACACTGCTCTAAAAATCAAAGGCGGCAGCTAATATCGCGCGTCAAAATTACTATAGCTTTGTCTTGACTTCGAAGTAAATACGTTCCCATGCCTGCTTGTGTGGGAACCTATAAAAAACCTGTTAACTCCATTGAATTTCCGAAGCATAACCACTGAGGAATCCCAAAAAGCAAACATCACAGGAGGAGGGTTAATTCTATAATTTATTTGCGCACTAAAATCCGAAATACTATATAACAGTCGCCAGTTTCTCTCCAAGCGAGATCTGAGCCTTGCAAAGGCCTGACAGGTACACAATCATCAGCAAGTCCTGCAGTAAGAATGACAAAAAAAGTAGGTCAAAATTGAATAGAACAGGATGCTGAAATTTAATAATTTAAATGTTGCTTGTACATCTCTGAGGTCTTGCAAACTGGTATACTGTACGAGCAGTCTTGTTTAACAAGTACAGTTAAAGAGGAAAAATACAAGCAAAATAGTATATAAAGGGGCTAATGTTTGCGTTGGCTGGTTGGGAAATGAGATTGCATCCTGTAAGTCAGAACAATGCTAGAGACCGACCGAAGCGTCATGAGCATGGACGCCGCAGTTCCATAGAGGATGAACATTCTGATTGCAAGCTCACATGAAATTTAGCGCAGTGTAGCTATGAAAGTACAAATTTGGAGCACCGCTTAATTCATTACACCTTAACATCAGTGTGCATATTCTCTATACTGTTCTCTTTACGTTTCCTTAAAGTTGCTGACAAGGAGAATTTGTCGAAAAATCAAGACCTTCTTTAGTAGGTGATAAGTTCCTTTATTCTCACAACATTAATGTGTGATTCAGGGGTAATATTGGTGTGGAGAAATTAAATTCTAGTCACTCTGGCGGTTAAGGAACAGCCTTAAGAAGACCCTTTTCATTACTTTGGTTACATACATGATACATCCACAGGCACTGTAGAGAAAATATATCATCACCTGCATGTTACTGTTCAGGATAGATTCAAAGTCTTCTTTTGACATTCGAGGAACTGAAGTAACGAGATCCA